GTATCCGCTTGATAGGCTTTTTGCCTGTTTCCTTAGGGAAATGGGTTTCATGCAGTCACAAAGCGTCTCTGTCCCCAGTGGTTGCTTTTAACCAAAACTTGGAGAGGTAAATAGGTTTTCTGAAAACTGACCATTGGACGGGACAGGGAGACCCTATTAGAGTTCTCACTTAAGGGAAAAGTGTTATTGTGCATATATGACCTGCCAGGAACTACAGAATCCACGTGGACGAGATGCCTTTAAAATACTTCAGCCACAGGAAGAACATCAGCTGGCGCACTCATTCAAATGTTGAATACGTATCTTTTGGTAAGCAGGCTTTACGAGATCTGTCGTTCATGAAGCTGCTTGTTAGAAATAAGTTAGACTGACTGACATTGATTTGATTGATGTGCATGGAGTCCTGATTGAGAATACTTAGGTTACGAACCAGGAGCTTATCCATTCTTCTACTGTGTTTTCTTTTTGCTGGGGATTTGGTAATATTAGCAGACACAGGATAAGCCCAGATAAGATGGAGAATATGAAGTGGCACCACATGCTCTATATGCACATGAAAAAGCAGTAAGTTTGGAGATATTTTTTGTCGAGGCTGATCTATTATGGCCTGCAAAAAATGCATTTGTTTGGTTTTTCTGTCAAGTCTTGATGCACACAAAAATGTTTCTAAAAGCCCCAGTGAATCACTGCTTGTTGTCATCATCAATAAAGCTCCTGTTGACTGCACTGGAAATGAAGTGCAGCCCCTGTTGTGGTCAGGACAGTGAGAACTATTAAGAGCTGAAATCATTTCACTTTGTAAGAGTAACCTCTGAATACAGATCTTTGAGAAGTCTTGCATTTTAATTTGAAACAACACTTTGTTACTATACTATAAACAAAACCCCCAAGCACTTTTCTGAAGGCTGATGAACTGTATAAGCTTTAATTTTGCTAGTGATACTATTACAGTTTTCGCTTTCTTCTATGAAATACCTTTTGATGTTGTTAGGCAGCTTTGTTACATGAACATAGTATTTATTTTATGAATCATGTAAGACTATCAGGTTATAAGGAACTTACTAACACACAATTCTTTGAGCTCTTTTTTATGATATGCCTTATTTTCTTGGCCAAACTTCTATAGCCCAAATATCTTTCTGGAGTTATGTATGAGAAGATTTGAGTAATAAACAACAGGAAAATAAATGCTCTAATAGATATTACTCAAGTGTAATTAATAGCCTTGCTCATCTAATTCTGGTATTCTCATTGACCTTAGACTCAGATTAGTCAACAGTTACATTTAACAAGCTATTAAACAGTCCTAGTTTAGTAGTGCTGTAATTTATAATCTTATCTGCTGCTAACAGTAATTATTATGGACCTGTGTAATACACCTGCATGGTACACTATCAGTACCTTTAAACATAAAAATACATTTCACAGCAAGTTCATATATCCAACGTTAGAAAATAGCTGTTGTTATGTGCCAGGCTGTGTGTAAGTGCATTTATGAATCATAGATTTGTGAGTGTAGTATATGGACAGCTCTAGGTAGTAAGATGTGTTTTGTATCTCTACACTGTTCAAGTTTAAGAAAGGCAGCCAAATGAAACCATTTGAGACCTTGCTTCAGGTTTTCCCTTCCTTGCACACAGGATTGGCTTCTGCCATAGGCAGAGCAGGCAGTTGCCTGTGGAGGGAGACTGAGCATAGCAAAATGGCGATTTCTTCACGTCTTCTTCGATATCCCCCCCCCCGAGTTCTCCTTAGACCTGTACCCGCCTCCTCCTTCTTGCCTACCCAGGAGCGCAATAGGCAGTAGAGCTGTGCCTGTGTTGCTAGCTGTGTGAATATTTATGCAGCTTCTCAGGCTGCTTTTGCACTCCTTACATTGCCACAGGTTTGCTGTTAGCTGTATTAGGGCTAGCAAGTTTAAAGTGAGCTTGATAATCATATGTAAAATACAGGCATCCTTTGGACTGAATTTGGATCGTCTCCTTAAGTATAACTTTGGACCTTTTTTTTTTTTTTTTTTTGCTGCTCACCCTGAACTTTTTATGTGTAGTTGAATTGGAGAACTAATTTATAGTCTCCTTCCGTGGTAGTGGAAATGTGGTCCTTAACTACTCTATAATAACCCTGGTCGTGATTTTTGTGCTTAACATGAATTAAAAAGACTGAAGCAGGCATCTCTATAATCAATATAAAGTGCTCAGTTTATGAAAAATATATATAGTGTTAAATTTATTGTCAAAGTGTCATTTAAGGTGATAAATCTGTAATGGTGGTCTGAAAAATTTCTGTTGAGTTACTTGTCAACTTGAAAAATCTTACAGTGCTAAACTACATGTGAGAGAAGACTGTAGTCTTGGAAGCACTAAATGTTTCAACCCATGGTCAAGAATATAGGCACAGGAATTTTTAATTACTTTTCTTACTGTTCTTACTTCCCTTTTCTGATATGCATTAAGCACAACTGGTAAAAATCTGAAAAGACAATTAAAGCTGTCAAGGTGGTTTCAGTTTTTCAAAACTGGAGTTGTTAAAAACAAAATAATGACTCTTTATTCTTTTCATAGTTTTACTTAAATTATCAATCCCTTATTTTACTGGCTCACATGAAGTTATTGATACCTGCACAGTGTTCAGAAATTAACATACCTGGAGATATTTGAGCAGTAAGTCTGGTATGAATTGGAACAACTAAGGGGTATTCTTCTGTCTGAAGGTTTGCAATAATCCTCCAAAAGCAATAACTGGGTTAAGGCTAAATGACAAGAAGATATAGCTATGGCAGCACCTAATTCTCACAGTCTGCTGTCTGATAGAGTTCACAGCCTTGAAGCAGGCAGCTCAGCACCTGACAAAAAGGTGGGATGAGTTAGATGACCATGAGTAAGTTGAGCAAGGAAACATGTAAGCAGCCAGGAGGAAATCTTTAGGAAGGATGGGACATCAGTCCTGCCCATGAAGTAGGTGGTCTGTTATGTTCATGCTGAGTTACTAACAACAATCCCTCTCCTAGAGTCAGTCTATGTTTGTAAGATATTATTGAAAATTTTATTTTTAAGGCGTTACTTTCTTAAAAGAAAAAAAAGATAAATACTATCTCAGAGGATGGCTGTGGCTCTTACGTAAAATGTTTGTGACCCATGTTCAGAGGTGTATTGTGATACTTTAGTATTTAGAAGGTGATGGTGGTAGAGGATTTCCATTCCTCTTGGATTTCTTCTGGTCTGCAATCAGAGTTTTAGCTTCTCCCATTAGGGTACCAGGGAAGATCACACAAAATTAAAATGACTTCAGCTGGACAGAGATTTCCCTAAGGAACCTGTAGTCTTATGATTCAGGAGTCTTCCAGATATGGAAGGGCAGGGTCCTCTGCTGTGTGAAACCAGGAGTCAGAACTGGTCATCACACAACTTGGAATGTGTTGCCTTCTACTAGAGTAGCAAGGGACATGGGCACCTGCTGCTGGTGAAGCCCACTGTATATCTGGTTGTATTTTGGGAAGGGTAGAATTTAGTTGCTTGGCAGGTAAGAGAAGCAGGTGCATGACTCATTTAGTAATACCACAAGGTTTTCTGCATGTGCTGTTTGGTAGTGTCAGAACTGGAGGGGTTTTTGTTCCCTGTGGAGGGATGGGGTTTGATGTGCTTCACATTGCCTTTGTGTTGGAGACAAAAACCCAAGTCCATATGAAGATTCAGTGTCTTTCCTTCACCTCCAACGTATGGCTTATATGTACTAGGGAAAAAAAAAATACTGGCAGTTTTTACTTAAACATGACTTCTGTCCTACATGCAAATTATACTTTAAATTTGATACATCCGGTTAGGGTCCATGAGATGTTTCCACCCACCATCATCTGCCATAGGGCGGTCCAGTTCACCTGACTAAAGAGGTAGTAGCTCATCTGTTTTGTTCTCACACATTAGGACCAGTCAATTTGTAAACTTCAGGCTGTTGTTCAACAGAAGGAATCAACAAGGAAATACAGTAAATAAAATCTCTTGAAGATTTTGTTCTAAGCATTTGTAGATGATCCAGCTTTAATTTCTCTGAAAATTATCTTGTACTCAGAGATCAAGGACTGAAGGTTTGGGAAGTAAACACTGTTCTTTAGTCAAAAGAGAAAAAAAGAGGTTTAATCCCTGGTTTTAAATGCAATGTAACTTTTAACTATGGAGCCCCTGTGGTTCCTTTATACTACTACATAAAACTCTTGGTATTTTGGCTTGTAACACTGATTTGCACTGTACTGCTGGCAGATACACAGTTTACTGCTCTCACTATCTTTAATTGGTGGACTGATAAGACTGTGGAAAAACAGCATTATTTTGCTTTGGGGTGGAGAAGGCAATTTTGTAAGCGTGGGAGGGGAGGAGTATTTCTGATTCATTTGAACATTTCTTTGCATAATGGGAGAGGACCTTTCACTTAATTACCACTGAAACCGTAAATGCTTAATTGACATAAAAAAAGCCCAATATAGGCATTTTACAGTTTTCCTTTTGATCTTCCATGTGGGTGCGTATTGTACATGCAATTTGAAAAGAATAACTAAAAGGCTCTGATGTGGATGTGTGCTAGCATGTGAGGAGGGCCTGTGTGAGTACAGTTCGGTGAAGCATCAAAGAAATGGATACACCCATTTCACTTATGAATAAATTGAGCATGTAATTAACACCTGGACTTTACAAAATACTTTTGAAACACAATTAAATCTGCTGCTTTTCTGCAATGAACAGAAGTGCTAAAAGTGAAAATATTGATCCCTGCTGAGTTTGATTTTTGAATGTATTTGACTTTAGATGCAGACTGGATTTAAACCCACGGTTTCAACCATCAAACCGTAAAATGAGACTGAGCACGATTTCTTTGCAACTGAAGTCAAAGGAATAAGGGCTTTTTAGAGCTGATTTGAGTTCTTTTTTTTTTTTTTTTGAGATGCAAACTATATTTTCCGTGTAAGAAGCCATTCTAATTAATGCAGTCTTTCTCTTTTCCCATAGCAATTTATCCAGAAACAAGCTCTCAAGTTTGTCCAAGAAGCCTTTTCGCCATCTGGGTTTGTCTGATCTGTAAGTTGTCATTTCTTAAAATAAAGTTTATTTTTAGCTGGAATAGAAGAACAAGACTTTGAAGTTTGTTCTTTTGTGAAGGTAAAGGTCCATCAGTGATTAGGAGTGAAATTCTGATCCAAAGAAAGCAGCAATTGGACACTTACATGCAGAGATATTTTCATTCCAGGGTTTCAGGAACATACAATGTATCTTTTTAAAACAATGTGGAGGTCAAAATAGCCTGTTCTTTTCAGCTTTAAAATATTTTATTGTGAGAGTACTTCACACAAAACTACTGGTGTTTGTATTAAATATTTGAGCTAGTGAAAATACAGTTTTCTAAGATATTCAAATGAAGCCTCTCTTCCACTGTATTGGCCCCACAGCTGCTTATGGTTAACTATTGAAGAACATTTTTATTTTCTCACTTCTTTGAATTGCATTGTGCTGTATATAATCATTTGGTAACGAAGCACTGGTAAACATATATTTATTGATTGTTTCAGTATTACATTTTTATCCTCTGTTCCATTAAGCAGAATTTCTGTGTTGGTATGCATTCCAAAATTTTGGTCATCTTGTGCATTCTTTGCTATTATGTGGTACTGCAGAGAGTCTGCAGGAGCTTTGGGAGGGCTGGGACTGCAGAGGAGAGGGAGATTGCTCTCCTGGAGCTCGGAGTAGAGTCAGAAGTCGTCCAAAATGCCAGCCAAGTATTGCAACACCAGCCTTGCAATCACTCTTCTGGTGAGCTTCAGCATGTGAGAAATGAAATGAGCAAATCCCAGTGGCACAAAGAGAGGTTATGCCCCTTAGGCATGTTTTGTTGATAATTAAATTGGTGTAATCACTTTCTTTACAGCCCAGGGAACATTGCTCACTGGAATTTTCTTTCATAACTTGGCGGTCACCAAGCACTCTGATGGAGAGACTAGCTAGTTGCAGAGCACTCACATAGCTGTATGCCCTGCATAGCTCTGTTGTTTCTGAAGTCCATGTTTCTTCATATGCCATATCTAGTACCTGTCAAAAAGCCATCGTTAGTGTGTACTTGGCTGTAGGTTCTATTTTGTAGTTGTTATGACCTCAGAAAAATAGATATAGGACTCGGACTGTGCGCCCAAACGCACAGTGTGAAGCTTGGCCTTCACTTAGTTTTTGTAAGCAGTTAGTGAAGAAATGGAGTCATCTTTACCCCTCTTCCCGGGTTGCAGAAATATAAGAGTAGGTATGTTCTAGCTTAGGAAGCATGCAAAAAAGGCAGTGACTGCAATTTTGAAGACATACTCTTTGCCCAGTTTTTTGGAGTTTATCTGCTGCTGGTAGGTTTATTGGAAAGCACAAGTCAAGCCACCCCTGAATCTCTTCCTCTCAGGTGAACAGCTTGTTTTAGGCTGTGGATGAATTGAGTGCTTACATAATCTTGGAGAACAACATCAGTTTTGCTGATCTTTCTGAAGAAGTTGGTTTTCTCCTGGGCAGAAAGAAGTAAAAAAAGATTTGAGACAGAGAGCGAGAGAGTCAAATGTTACAAATATGTGATGGGAATTATGGTAATAAAATTTAATGAGGCAAGGGAATAACACAGGGAAAACAACTGGCTGATGTGAATTAGGAGTGAATATATTCCTGTTGCTAATACCAGAGTTAAACAATGGCCATTCAGTGTCATGGTAGTAGAAGCAAGGGAAGGGTACTGAGAGTAAGCCAGACATGAGAAAAATGGGCGGTGTGAGGGTTAAACTGTGTAACATTTGAGGTATGGAAGCCATATGTGATGAGGGACAAGTTAGAGAGAGAGTGGATACAAAATTCAGATAGAGTGTTGTGGGCTTGGGAAAGAGTTGGAGTGTAGGGATAGAAGAACTAAAATTATGCAAACAGAAATTTTCATTGGCGGAGGGGAAAGCAGAGCCTGAAGGAGGAAGAACCATGATAAAATTAGTATCAGTTGAACCGTTCTGTTGATAAGTAATACATAGGTGGAAAATCAGAAAGAGAAAGAGTATTGGAAGGGGAATCTGAGAGAAGAGTGATGCCATAAATACCTTCCAAGGAGCTGCTTCTAAATCTGACAAACATGTGTCCTGTTAACAATCTTGCAAATCAAAACATAAAGGGATGAAAAGTTCAGGATAGGGTGAAGTAGGAGATACTCACCAGGTATTGTAGGGAAGGAGATGTCACTTTGAAAGGCGTCTTTTAGCTGCAGCTGTAAAATTACAGCAAACAAAATAAAGACACACAATTTACTTTTACTAGGTCAGATTCTTTCTTACACACATGTGAAGGGCCATCATGCCTGTATCTAGCAGCATCCTGCCTGTGATGTGCCTAACTCCCTTGTTGGTTTAACACAAAATAGAACAGTGGAAGAAAAGGGCTGCTCAGTACTGGTCAAGGGAAATTTCTCTTTTACAGAGAAATTATACAGTTAAATAGAAGATGGGAAGTATGCTGTTTTGAAAATGCATTTTGTAGGTTTTGACCCAAGCTATCCTAATTAGGTTCATACTCTGTCTTGCACAAACAATTCTTGTCCATGCTGTGGTGGTGTTGAAGTTCAGCAGATGATTTCTAAGAATACAAATTGCTCCTTCATACACTTGTGAGAATGATTGCTGCAGCTGTTAATCTTCACAGAACTGCAGATGGCTTTTGGGAGAACAGGTTACAGCTCTGATAAGCTGAGTTTTTCATGATTTTCACACTTAATGTCCTCAGGTGTTTATGAGCATAGACTCTGTGGGCAGTTTGAGTCTGGTTTCTGTACATTGAAAATACCCATGAAATTGTGTAAAGAACAATTGTCCTCCTTGTAATGAGAGGCCTTACACAGCCACTTGCACATGCTTTACTGGATCTCATCTATGCCAGTAGGAGAAAGAATAACACTGGGTCACTTCTTATGTAGACATTGGGATATTTCTGTTCGTATTCTTCTCGGGCATTATTGCATTACATTGTTGTGTAGTTGAATTACATTTTAAAAATAGAATTTGGTAAATTTGCCAACCTGTGGTTTAAATTCCATGCAGCATACGATATAGCTAGGTGATACATTTCTTTTTCAGGGCCTTTTTGTCAGTTAATGGTTTTTTCATGACATTACCTGGGGTTTTACTGTAAGTTTTCTACAGTGTTGTAACAGATGGAATTTTGAAGGTTAAGTAAAATCTTTTTTTTATGATTAGAGTTTGTTAGAGCTTGCCTGTAATCCATGGCTGTTTGACTCTATATACCACGTCACAGCAGTAAACCATTTCTGGCATGATCTGTCTGAGATAGCTGAGCAGAGAGTCAAGTGTAGAAGAGAGGAATGGTGATCTCAGCTTGACTCTTACAACATAAAATGCAGCTTGATGGAAAGCCCGATTCTCCATGCACTCCCGATTTACACCAGTGAATTGGAAATAGTAGTCGAGCCCACTGTTTGATCTTTCCGATCTATGACAGTCTGGATTCTTGGTGCAAGGAGAGCTTCATTCTCTACATGGAAACCATTACCTACCTACAGCATGCATTGCATTGAGGTTACTGAAGTTGCGTTCCTTGTCCTACTTAACTGAAGGGTTCAACTTCTATTTTCACACAGCTGAGTACTTGGAGTCCCCCTGCCCCCATTTTTTTGTATGTGCATGACATTCTGCATTCTAAACAAATTGGTTTTGCTATATTTTGCTATAGGATATTGGTGGACAATCCATTCAAGTGTTCCTGTGAAATTATGTGGATCAAGAAATTCCAAGAGGCCAAGTTTTACACAGAAACTCAGGATTTATATTGCATAGATGACAACAACAAGAGGACAGCCTTGCTGGATATGAAGGTCCCGAACTGCGGTAATACTCTTTTAACATAAAACTACTGCTAAATTATTGTGAGACAGGAAAAACAAATATGCTTTTTTACAAGATACCTACCAGGATGACAACAGTGCTGCTAAAGGAAATGTTTCAGTAGAGATATTTACCACTCACTGGTCTTTCACCCCACATAGAATACTTTTGGGAACTTCTTGTAAAGCTGCTTTTTTTCCTTGATCCTTTAAGAATGTACCATTATTCAAGTGCAGGAAATCAGAACACCGATTATAGATAACGCACAGTGCATGTGCCTTTGTTAAACTAAATAGCAGTGTTTCCAAGCTCAATAGACTCGAAAGTTTACCTTTTTGATTTTTTTTCCCAGGTATTTTAGGTTAATGAATTCTTTATTTTCCTTCAAAAATACAAACTCTAGTACTGGGACTATAGGAAGAAAATTCAGAACTGCCTGCTAATAGAGACAAACTGGCAATAGCTCTGTTCTTTGCACGAATAAAACTCTGCTGAGTTCACTTGTAAAGGCTATGCAGAAGAGTCATAACAAGCTTAGGCCTGTAGCACTTTGCAGCATGTTTTCAGTTAGCTTATAGGGATCTGGAGTTAATGGAAAAACGATGTAATAATAAGGTCATCCCCTTACTTTTTTTGTATACAACTTTGCTGCTTGTATGAGGTTCTGGGACAGTTGGTGAAAGATTTCACCCACTAGTTGAGATTTCTTCTCGTCTGTATGAGGGGCAGAGGCTGGGTGTTTCTGACTCGATATGAGACCTTCAGGAGTTTGGCGTTTCCTTTGCAGGGTGGAGAACTCGTCTGTGCAGTAGCAGGCAGGCTAAGGAAGGAGAGCAAGGGTATCCTCAGGGAGGGCTGATTTGCACTGGGAAAGCTATAAGTGAAGGTGAATAGCAGGAGGAGCACAAAAATGATACTTTTTCTCCTTCCACCTTTGCCCATGAGTATCCTTTTCTCCACTGCCTATATTGAGGGTGTGACACCCTCTGACAGCAGCTGCCAGCAAGAAACAGCCATGGAGGGGACCTGCTGCAGACCCAACGTAAGGGGTGTTTAATGGCAGTAGTGCATTTTATGGGCATGTATCATACTGTTGGTCTTGTGTCCATCTTCCTGCTGGGGCCAGGCATGACTGTAGTGTATTCATGACAAAAATGGCTCTCAAAAGATGAAACAAGCTATTTAGAGGGTCTTGTGAGCTGCACAGTTTGTGTTGTGTGCTGCAGGATCTGATTTACCTGATGTGAGAGATAGTGCTGAGCTTCAGCTGGGTGGATCAGAAGTAGATTAATCTGCTGGTTGTAGAGAAGTCTCCTAGTGAACTGAGATCAAATAGTACAAACCAGAAACTCCAGCATAGTCTTTATAACATTCTTGGCTGGCACATCTAGACGCTACCAGGTAGCTAGGATTTTCCTTTGAAAATTTTTAATGTTAAATGTCCAGAATTAAACCAATGAGACATTTTTTTCTCCTGTGTTCTTGACCATCTGCAGTCACAACAGATTTATCTCTGACATCCTGATGCTGTGTGTGTGTACACACGTGTGCATCCTTTGGGCATACCTTGACTAAAATACTTGCCATGACAAGGGAAGGTGGTACTTCCAACTAGAGGAGGAAGAGAAGGAGGAAATGTTGAGTATATACAACGTTCAGATTGGAATTTGCAGTATGTGAAATTTGCATATGGGAAACATACATTTTGCTGAAGATCTATGTGGATGTGAACTCATGCCTGCAAATTATTTGTTAGTTTACAGGGTCCAAATATCACTAAACTTTTTTTTTTTTTCCCTTTTAGTGGGTCTTTCCCTTTATTTTACATTTTTCAAAATGAACCAGTGCAGGACCTAGGTTTTTAATTAAGATGACAACATCCCAGGTGAAGAAGAATGACTGTCTTGGTCATTCCAGAACACAGCCTGGGCTGTGTTCTGGAAGATGCTGGAAAGATTCAATGTGTGGCTCTTGCTTTCCCTATTTCTGTAGATACTTCTCTGTGTTTAAAAGGACAAGACTTAATTAAAAAAAAAAAACAACCCACCACTGACAAAGCTGGTCTATTTCACTGCCAGAACTTTCAGAGAGGCTAACAGATAGAACTGAAATAGAAGAATAATTCAGCTATTGACATATGTGAACTTTTTATCCTGTGAACTCCATGACCTTTTTAGATCCTTTTCATATCAAGATTAGTTTTTGGGTGCGTAGTCCTTTGGATTTTGTTAATAAAACATTTCCAAATTTTCTCTGCTAATGAAATGGTTTCATTCCATCTCTCTGTTTTGTTACATTTTTTTGATTTAGAAACTAAGCAAACATACTCTCTTCTTGTGTGCAGGTGTTATTAATTACTTCATAATATTATAGTATGTGTCCTGTACAGTATGTGGCAAATGTCTTGGGAATATGACATCTTGCTGTTGTGTGCTGTTAATAAATCTCTTTCTGGGAAGCTGGAAGAGGTGACTCTGGTTTCTTGATCATAGGGCTCTGGTTTGTAGATAATTGATGTGAAAATCAGCAAAGTTCTGTGGTACTTGTTATTTATATGGTGGAAGTGTTCATTAATGTGCTGATTAAAGGCTGGTGGCAATTGAGATGCCATCAACTTTGTGATTTCTGTTCTTGAAGTTTAAAGCAGGTATGCTCACTATCTAGAAGATCCTTTCCAGATGCAATATTAAAGGTGTTAATCAGTTTTATGATTGCAGAATTATTTTTTCAACTGCATTTGGAATGTGTTTATGTATGATGATGTCCTAGATTTAGCCAGGATAGAGTTAGTTGAAAATTGTCAGATTCTGCTAAGTTTTAAATTCACACTTAATTACTGTGTCAAAGGTTTTTAATCTGTATCTACCACAATAATGTTAGCAGAGCCTTCTGTGTAAAGGAATGGGGGTGTTCAGTTTTGCTATTTTCGCAGCATTTGATGGTTGTCTCTTCAACATGGACAACATCACCACCTAGGCTATCCTCTTGTTTTTGTTACCACCTGATAAATAGCATTAGAAAATTAAGAAGGAGAACTAAATAAGTAAACACTTTGTTTTTATTACTGCTTCTGTAAGCTCTGGCAGCAATTGCCACTGGTGTATCAAGTCCTTGGAAGTGAGGCATGTCCAGTGCCTGGGGTAAGGTCACTCAAAAGACCGTCAGTCTGCAGATCAGCTCAGCCAGAGGTTACTGAATGCCAGGGAGGCAAGTCTGTGTCTTTGAGACTGGTTATTAAGGTGTTGGTTGATCCCTCTGGTAGGCATTCAGTTACTCATCTTCTATCATTGAACTCACTGATACTGAAAGAAATCTTTTTCACTTGGGTTTTTTTTTGGGAGACGCCTGGCTTCTACAATTATCTTTGCAGTCCTCTTGTGGGTTTTTTTGTTGCTCTGGATCTCAGTCTGGCATTTTGCCTTATCTGGCCAATTTACTTAATCAGATTGTTTTATATATGCCGGTGTGGTGCTTGATCTGGCTTTCATTTTGCTTACTGTCCCATCTTTGTATGCTTATTTATTATATATTGTTTCTGCAGATGTTTTCTTTCTTGTCATTGGTCATGAATGCTAGCTAAAGTCTGCTGAACAAAGTGGCAAATTAATCCAATGTACTAATTACAAAAAAGGTATGTACAGAGTGGCTGTTTACATATGCAGCCAACCACCGGAAATGTTGCCTGGTCTGAGAACTACGGGATTTTATGAATGATAACATTTTTTGTCTCTCTTCCCTTGTGCATGAAGTATTGTGGTGTTGCTCTTAGTGCTGATTCTTATGTGTGGCTGACAAAATGTTAAAAGTCATTGTAATGTAGAATTAGAGTCTAAAGAGATGGGTTGCCTGTTTCTTGCTTGGTTTACCAGTGACTGTATCCTGTACCGTGAATGTTTACAGGCAGTTGTTCAGATGACTACAAATGGACTGGGTCTGGCTTCATTTCAGCCTCTTTCTGGTGATAGATTTTTGTCCTAGAGGTAAATAAGTAGATGGTAATGTCAGACTGGAGGCAGGTGGTTATAAATTCTAAGGCGGTGAAAAGGCAAACTAAAGGATTGACACATTTATTTCTTTGAATTTACGGAAAAGATTTGTAGTATTAGTGAGTCAATAAGCATTAGGTCTTAGGCAGTCACAGTACAGTGCTGTCTAAAACCACAAGCGAAGGCATAATCCAGTGGGTGTTGACATTTTTTTGCCATTATCAGCCAGACTTCACAGATAAGACTATCAGCAGGAGAACATTACAGGCAGAATGCAGTTTAAAAGAAGCCTTAAACATTCTCTGTGTTTACTTTTCAGAATATTCAGGGGCTTTCTAGCCTGTGTTGTTTATTTTGGGTCAAAAACTAGATGTTATACATGATGTATGGTAGAAAACTGTTCTTATTTTCTCTGTAAGAGTTTTAATTCTTATCTGTGATTATGGGCTGTATTTTATGAGAGTTTTGACAGTAATGGGGTTTCACTGCTGCTCCAAAGTTGAGTTATAATTTTCCAAACTTACTTAAAATGTTTTAATTATTCCAGCTTCTAAGTGAAAATAACCAATAATTAATGGATATTTGAAAAGGCAACAGGATTCTCATTTTCAAAGACATGTACATAATTTCTCTGTAAGCATGCACACTTTTATGTGTTCATGAAGCAACCAGTAACTTTCATACAGATGTCTACATGTATGATATATAAATCATGTGATTTGTGAATAATAACAGTTGAATGTACATGATGCATGTAAACATCTCTTTTTTTTAAAAAAAAAAACAAACAGAATTTTGTTTTATAATTCTAATACAATTTCTGATTTAACTTGAATGAAGCAGGTTTATAATACTAAGCAGGTTAGAAATAGGAAGAAATAAGGCACTATCTAAGGGAAAGAAACATGTCTTGATCACTCAAGTATTGTTCCTGAGCTCAGTGCATTGTGCAGGTTTGCAGAGGTGCCCTCTGTGCCTTACTTGATGCATTTGCGTAAGTGTGGAGTACTGATCTAC